CTCAGCAAATGGATTAGGCCAGGGAGCATGGCCTCTGAAATGTGCAGGCTACATGCCTGGCTCCAGGCTGAGCCACCATGTCTGCTTTGGGCTCCCCTACAGCCCACCCCACCAGTGGCACCAGCCTCTCTGGCACCCTGGCCGGCTCTACTTGCAGCTGCCAGCTAGAGCTGGTACCCTATGCTCTTGCTCCCTGTACTCCTGGGACAGATGAGGTCACAGCCATCTTACAAGATATCAGGGTATGAAACATGGAATCTGACTCTTCCAAAGCCAGTCAAGGCCTGACTTGCATCATCTTTGTTCCCCCCACCCCCAAGAGAGCCTTTCCTCCCTAAACTGTTCCAGCTTCAGCTCAGCAGCACTAGCATTGGCCCTGCTTTCCTGGGCAGAATGGAGACACCCCATCAGAACCTAGTCTAGGATGGTCCAAACATTGACTCTCCTCAGCTAGGGGCAAAGGTCTCCTCAGCCATCCCTCTCCTTGCTGGAGACAGCTGTGCAGCTGCTTGACTAGATGTTTCCTTGTGCAGCTGCAAGAAACCTTGCTGTAGGCCCCACAAGGTTCTTTGGCAGCAGCTCAACCAAACTGGTTCCCTGACTCTTGTTTGCAGAATTAGTGCAACGCCCCCAGCACCACAAGTTTACCTTGAAGAGGACCATGGCTAGCGAGAGTTTTCTGCTAAGCACCTGCTGTCAGGCAGCTTGATATTCTCAGCAAGAGACAGACTAGACTGCCGGCAGAGCTAGCTGGCTCCTTTCATCCTCCCTCTACTGTGGAGGGGTGGGAGAAGGGTGCTTTGCCTGGGCAGGCAGCAGATTGCTCCAATGAGGCTTTATTAGCACTGCTGAGTACCATGGAAGGGTTCTCATTTAAGAGCAGAATCTGGAACATTGTTGGAGCTCCAAGCTAGCTTGCAGCCTGCCCTCTATGACCTCACAATAAGCACATGCCAGAGTCGTGTATTCTTAGACTGTTTATTTAGAATCACACAGTACATTCCAAAAGGCTCGCCACAAACCTGAGAAAAGCATCTAAAAATGGACACAAGTTAAATCCATTTGCTGTGAGGAAAGAAAAAAAGAGTCTGTTGGCAGGGAAACCTATACCAGCAGCATAGAAATAGAAGTCAATTGTCACTCGTCAGTCTGCTACCTTCAGCCTCATGCTTCTCTTCTCCCCTCCCCCCCAAAAAGCTACAACATCTGATGACTACACTAGGAGTCTAAAGACAGCCAATTGGGTGTCGGTTTAGCCATTGCAGGAGAGAGTGCAGACTGATGCAGAAGTAACTGTGCCATTACCCTGTCATCAAGTTGCTGCTCTGAAGGCCAGAAGAGGAGGAGCTCTAAGGGAATGGTGCTTAAGATTGCTAAATAGGGGACTACCCCCCTTCTTGAGCCAGGTTGCCAGTAGATTCTCAGCTTCCTCAGAAGCTCTGAGCTGGCACCTGCCACCCCAGCTTGACAGGTGACTTCATTCAAATCACCCAGCCAAGGAAACAGCCTGTCTCAGTGACTCCTGCAGACTGGCCATTTCCACATCCCAGGGGTGCATCCACCAAATAAGAGGACGTGGTCAGGCATCACCTGGGAAGGGAATCTGCCCCACACTTAGAGAATTACTCCCAGAACAAAGGAGTCATGGATGGCACTTAAGAGACTGGCCCTCTAAGAGGGGAGTGTGAAGGGAGGAGGCCTCACTTGCGCATGCCAGCAGCTTCCAGTGGGTTTGCCTAAACTGGCAGGGACAGACCAAGGAAGTCTGAGCTACACCAAAGTTTTTGGGAAACAAGTGAGCTACACTAAGGCCTCCCATCTAAGAGCTGGTTTGAGGGACTGCACCACCTCTGCAGCTTAGCCCTGGGGTGCTCTGACATCCTTCTGTGTCTTAGGCCAGATGCCCTCCTGCTCAAGGAGCTCAGCTAGTTTAAGTAACCACAAGGCTGCCCTCTGTAGAGTTACAGAAACTAGGCATCTTAAGCCGCCTAGTCACAGCAGCCATGAGAAGGGGACATGGCCCTGGATCTTTGCTAGCTACCGAGTGTCTGTAACAAGTAGGCCACCATTTAAAAACAGAGTTTAAAATATTAAGTCAAATGCACTCACAAGACAACTTCATCTCCCAGGGGGATTTCTACTGGAGTCATGCAGAGCTGAGGCATTTCACACTGAGAACCTAAACAGAACTCTTGCAGGCCCAGAGACCCTTCATCCAGGAGTTTCTAGGTTGATCGAAGTCTGCTTCTTCTCATTCCCTTGAGGAGGGCTAGCTGCTCTTACAAGAGCTCTGTGCATAATTTAAACATCTGAGTGATCAGGTCTTCGGTTTATTTTAGCACCGTAGCTCTTCAAGGAGGGAGAAGGGGGTCACTTCTTCCACCAGAAGTTAGGCAGGTTAGACGGGTGCTTCTACCTCCCTCTAGAAGCAGAGAAAGGAAGCCAGTTGCAGCTACTTTTGTAGTTCTATAGTAGAGAGTTTATTCAGGGTGCAGATAGGAAAGGCTCGTTGCCTACAGCTGAGAAAGCCTGCACCCGCCAAAGTATTTCAGAAGCAGTCACATGTGGAAAGCAGCATGAACTGACACCCCCACCATAGAGTGAGTTTTGAATCTTCTTGTTTCTACAGAAGAGAGTTAGGCCCATGAGGCAGGTGCAAGAACTTGCATGTTGCATCTTCAGTCTCCGGCTGAGTGTTTTGGAGTGTACGAGTGTCTGCCCTCATCCTGCAGGAGGGAAGAGTGAAAGTCACATCCCTAGAGGTCTGCCCGCGAGCTACAAAGCATCCTCCCCCCACCCAAGAGACTTTCCTTTGGGACCTGGTACTCAGCAGCCTCTTGTGCTACAAGAGTGAGTCCCTCATGAAGGGGGTCTCCAGGGCCTTTGAGAGGGAGTCTATCCAGGTGCAATGAGTTCATATTCCTACTCCAGCAAGGAGTAGCTAACTACACTGCGTACTAGCCAGTGCTGAAACAGCCCCAACCTGGCCCTTCTCTCAGCTTGGAAGGACCACACATCTTAAGGTTAGAAGGGTATGAACCTCACAGGGGATTGTAGTGAGGAAGTGGAAAATTCAGATCCTAGCTGTCTGAGGGAAGTGTAATAAACAAGACAAGCTGCGCTCTGGGACATGGGTAGGAAAGCCCTAAAGAGTAGTGGGATTTGGAAAGCCCAGTAACCAGCAACATTGTAGCATCCCTAGACCACCGGTGCCCTTGATTAAGGCTTTACTATTTTTAACCAGGCCCCAAAACTCATCTGTGCTCTCCCATCCTTGGAGGGATACTTGCCTCTTCGATGGCAGAGCGGAATCCTTTGTTATCCAGTTCAAAGGTCTGTGTCCCTGCTTCAGGGTCTCTCCCACCCTGAATTATAGCCGTGTGATGCCAGCCAAAGAGTCCAGAATTCAGGTACTAATCATGGGGGGGGGGGGGGGGGGAAGGAAGGAAGAGGAAAAAAGTTAATTATCTGCAAGGGAAGAGATCTTTGCCTGCAAGCTAGTGAACCACAAACACAACTATGCTGTGGGCACTGGGGTGGGCCAGCCCATTCAGTGGCTTAGAAGCAGGCTACCTGACAAGCACATGCTCCAAGACAAGAGGCAGGCAGCAGACACTTGGAAATGGAGCAGTATATTCTAACTCTGCTTGGTGAGCTACATGTGAAGTAAGCAGGGACTGAGACTAGCAAGTCATCCAAGGAAGACTAGAATCAAGGGCTGTGTCTAGACTGGCAAGTTTCCACAAAAGTGGCTGCTTTTGTGCAAAAACTTGCCAGCCTGTCTACACTGGCCACTTGATTTTGCGCAAGAGCACTGATGTTCTACGGTCTGAAATCAGTGCTTCTTGCGCAAGTCCTTTTCCGGAAATGCTTTCAGGCAAGAGGGCCAGGGTAGACAGCTCGACTGTTTTGTGCAAAAAAGCCCCAATGGCAAAAGTGGCGATCAGGCCTTTCTTGTGCAAAAACAGTCTAGATTGGCACGGATGCTTTTCCGCAAAAAGTTTTTGTGGAAAAGCATCCATGTCAATCTAGATGCTCTTTTCTGCAGATGCTTTTAATGGAAAAGCTCCAGTCTAGACATAGCCATGCTGACTAGTGGGTACATCACAAGTGTTCTACTTCTATTGCTCAAGAGCAAGTTACCAAGCTCCCTGCTGTGCCTCATTCTGCCACGTGCCAGTGAGGACTGGTAGACAAGGGTGTTGAACAGCGGTGAGCATTCCGAGAAGGTCTACATGTTGGTGTGACCTCTTGCTTTGGCCAGGGTGTGTTAATACCCCGGATCTGCTGGGTCTGAACATTCCTGTAACCTGAGTGCTACTGAAGGGACTGGAGAGGACCCACATCATTGCACTGCAACTTCAGATACGCCTCTGCAGAAGCTTACGGAGCATCACTGCCATCTTACCAGCAGAGTCATGATGGGAATGGCAGCAACAACAAGGCCACACATAATAATAATTGCCACACCATAGCCAGGGAAGCTTGGATACATGAAGGGAGGTTCCAGTGTGTCACCTAGAGTAAAGGGAGATAGTTAGAGCACTGCCTAATAGCCTCAGGGCTGCCAATGAAAGCCAGCCTCCTGCCCTGTCCAGACTGATCACTAGATCTTTTTTAGCTGGCTACTATAACCTCTATGGGTGCAGTTCCTACTCTATTGGCTCTATCAGGAGGCCTCCCTCCCATCCTTCCCTCTCCAGAGGAAGGCGTCTTGGCCTGTAGATTAGGCCAATCATGGTGGGCTGTTCAAATGGCTAGTCATGATGGCAGCTGGCTCCACCACTGCCTCAGGGGGGTCTCTTCTGGGCAGAGGGAAGGTCTCGAGCCTCAAAAGGCAGCAGAAAGCCTGACCAGCTCTTCCGTTTTGGTGGGAAGGAATTGCTGATTCTACGTGCGCCCCACCCAAAAGCACATGTAGAATCCATGTGGGGTTGTGGTTCTGCTCTTGAAGTTTAACATTGGAGCAGGGAGCTTCAGTCTGGAGGCCTGTGCTGCAGCTACACCTTGCCATTGTAACGAGACTGCAGCGGGGGACCGGACCAGTTCTGAAGGACTCCTGTAGAACACCTAGATCCCCCAATAGTCTTACCTGCCACATGGAAAGAGTATGGGTCCACCTGGAAGCCTGACCCAGCCAGCATGTCATCCGGGCCAACTGAGAGGAGGAGCGTCTGCAGGACATCTGCACTGGAAGGGGCAGGGTGCTGGAACACAACATCCCCATGGCAGCTCAGGGAGCCGCTTCTGTTGAGACAAGCAGACTCTAGTGAAGCAGAGGAGCAGTCACCCAGAAGGCCATGGGCACTCCAGGCTTGAGCGCTAGACCCCACGGCCTCCCACCTAGGCCTGCATCCCAGGATCATTTCTTAGACGCCTAAGTTGTCAGAAGAATTAAGATCTGCTGGCCCTTATGAGGAAACAGCAAGCCTCTGGCTAGATAGTAACTCAAGGTTGGGGGAATTTAGTAGGTGCTCATAGCTTACAATGGGGAGTCAAGCTTTTTTAATGCAGATCATAGTAGGGTAGAAGCCCAGACTGTTGGGGTCCCTGTTCTGTCTCTACAGCCAAGTGTCAGCCACTGTTAGCATCTTCCAAACCACCTTAGGGGATCTTAGAGTTCAAGTCCCACACATCTGCCACCTATGGCGTAGCTAAGAGAAGCAGAGCTTTTACTCACAGGAGGTCTCGAATGACCACTTGCAGGAGGCTTTGGTACTTCCTCAGGGTGTGTGTCAGCTGGAAGAATGGACCAGAGTTAGACAGTCTAGTCCCTGCCCCCCTTCTGTCCCACCATGCAGCCCCTACCACCAAGGTTGAGAGAACATCTGTATCCAGTTTGTTCTGAAGGAGGCCACTTTCCCCAGCAGGCATCAGAGCCAAGCTTAAGGAGCTTTATCCACCAGCTAAGTTGGCCTTGTTGGAACACCCACAATTCTATGTCTGGAGTAACTCCTGTGCCCTCCGTTCACGTTAATATTCTTGCTCGAGCCTGGAATTCTACTAGATCCTCATACGTGGGCTTCCCAATATGCTGGGTCTGAGCTTCAAAGCTCACTGACTAGAGCTGGATTCAGACTGGGACACCACTTAAAGGCAACCCCAGTGCTTTATTGTAACACCTAGTTCAGTGTGCTCCTTCCCCAGGACAGGGGTAGGGAACCTTTTGGGTTAGAGGCTGCTGACCTGCAGAGAATTCAGTTGGGGCCACACAAAAGTGAGACGCAAGGGTTTAAAAGAGTGGAAAGACACTCCTCACATTTTCACACCAGAGCCTGGGGGCCCCTGGCTAGTACCCTGTGGGCCCCTTAGGCTCTGGGTGGGGCTAAGAGTGAGGGGAAGGGTCTGTGGGAGGGGAGGCTGGTAGAAAACAAGCTTGGAGTGTGGGATCTGTGCAGGAAGGAGGGTGTAGGAGTGGGCAGAGGTTGGTAAGCCTGGGAAGACGGGGGGTCTGGGCAGGGGTGGGATGCAGGAGCCGTTTCCTCCCCCACCCATGGATTGGAGCCTGACTTGCTTTGCCTGAATCCAGCAAGAGAAGCTTGGAGGTTTACCCCCACTGCAGCTGGGATGTGTCACCCCAGCTGTGTGGAGAGTGAGAGGGGGCTGGCACTCTAGCCCCATCTTCCCTGTGCTGGGGGAACCCCAACCCTCAGGGGCTGGATACAGGCAAGCTGGGGGCCAGATTTGGCCCCCCAAGCCTTAGGTTTCTTACCCCTGCCCTAGGAGGTGTAGGCCAAGGCCTCTATTCAGGATTAGGCTGAAGCCTGGAATTAATGCTTTCTAGATTCCTCCTTAGATCAAGAGGGATTCTACAGGGTCCCCTCTCCATCCCTAAACATCTGATTACACAAGGGTGGGGTGGGAATTGCAGGCTGGAAGCCAGGCATGCCTACCACGTCAGCCAGGGACCTGGTGACACTCTGGTGTTCCACAGAAGAATGATCCAGCAGCTTCTCATCGACCATCCAGTTGTTGATCAGGAAGGAAATGGGGAAAACCTTCAAGTTCAGCCTTGCATCTGGAATTGGGGAAGAGATCAGAGCTAGACAAGTGTCATGGCCTCTGCCAGCCAAGCAACAGTGCTAGAGGGAAGGGTACCCACCAGCCACAGAGAGAGTTGTCAAGTCTACGGAGTAGTTAACAAGAGCCCTCAGTGCCTGTAGAATCTGGCTGACGTCAGCATGAGCTTGTGTGTCAACATAGGCTTCCCCACTGATCTCCAGGTCACCTTTGATGTCCCTGGACAAAGGAAAGAGTTTTAGCAGGGCAAAGGTAAGAACCGGCAGAGGTCTGGAGGCTTGGCCACCCTCTTGCAGCTTCCTCCCCGCCCCACTTCAGCATCTGAGGAAGCAAGTTGGAACTCAGGATAACGTGACAAATGTGTTAGTCTTTGAAGTGCCACCAGACTCCTTGTTAGTCTGTTTCAAGAAACCAGAGCCACGAGCACAGCTATCTTTGGGACACTACAATGGGTTGCTAGAATGTAGCCGCAACTGCTCCAGCAGGGTCATTCCTATTTCGTAATCCCACTAGGGAGGCCTAAGCCTTGGCCTGTCACTTTTGCAATCCCACAAGACCTGCTGCCCCAATAGCAGGAGTGGGACAAGTGTATTTAGTTGCAGGCAAGATCCTGTGGGCAACAGCCCAGCTGGAAAAGTTGCTAAGTTCTGAGATTGGAAGGAAGGTTTATTAGTGGTAAACAGACTTTACTAGCACGGGGAAACCTGCCTTACAGAATTTAAGATTTGTGGGTGGGAATGAGAGACATGCAAGAAACAGTACAGGACCAGGATTAAAAGTAGAGCCCTGCATGAGATAGTTTCACAGCAGTTGCATGAAAGTGGATGATCAATGCCTTTGCCCTCATCCTTTAAGTGACTTGGATCTCTGCCACTGCTGCTGACTATTTCTGCTTCCACACTGGCTCCAGCCTAGTCTAGTGCCCAGCATGCTGCTCCTGGCATTGCATCACATGGTGTTCCACTATCTCCAATGTCATGAGGCAGATCTCAAAGGGAGTGGATGCACCACAGCACAGAGGCCTTGTAGTCCTACCTCATAGGTCTACTTGTCTCAAGCTGGACTTAGCCGTACTTCTACCCATCCCTCATGTTCAATACTCAATGCACAAGGATAATACGTGTAGTGTTGGATTCTTGCCTGTACTTCACTGCTTCCATTCCTTCCCCCGGTCCTGCATCTCATGAAGGCCAACAAATTGTTAGTTCCCAGGACTGCCACTGAAGGCAGGGAGCATTTGGCAGCCAGATAACACTAGATGACTGACCTCTCATGGTTAACCAGATGCATGAATTGTAGTGCATGGAGATCTTGCCATTCATAGAAGTCATAGAACTGGAAGAGACCTCAGAAGGTCATCAAGTCCAGCCCCCTGCTCTAGGCAGGACCAATCCCAACTAATCAACCCGGCCAGGGCTTTGTCAAGCCGAGACTTAAACACCTCTAGGGATAGAGACTCCACTACTTCCCTAGGGAACCCATTACAGTGCTTCACCACCCTCCTAGTGAAATAGTTTTTCCTAATATCCAACCTGGACCTCTCCCACCAAAACTTGAGCCCATTGCTCCTTGTTCTGCCAACCATCACTACTGAGAACAGCCTCTCTCCATCCTCTTTGGAACCTCCCTTCAGGAAGTTGAAGGCTGCTATCAAATCCCCCCCCCCCCCTCTCCC